GGCCACCCTGGGACAGGCCCCAGAGCTCTGCAGCACTGGCTGGAGCTCTGCTCCACTGGGTGGAGCTTGTTTGGACAGCACAAGGAACTAGAAACTCTGAGTCCCCTCACCCTCTGAGGTTCCCTATGTAACATACAAAATGCCAAGTTGCGTTTGAATTTCAGAGAATTTCAATTAGCAAATATATTCAATTTATTTGCTAATTCTGGCCTCCCAGAATTGTACCTCAGTCTCCTGTTATGCAAAATGTGGCTAACAATGGTACCTACCTCTTGGGCTGGCTTCAAACCTGGTGTGCATGAGTGCATATTTTATTTTACATGGCAACACTCGTTAGGTAACCTGTCCAAGGTTATGCTCAAGTATTAGAGCCAGTTTTCTGATCCCAGAGCCTGTCCTTCTTACTGTCTCAGTCAAGATGACATCTGTGGCTAAGAACTACTAACGCATACAGTAGCCCATAATAATATTAACCATTATGTTGAAAATACAAACAGTTTCCATATGCTAATTTTTTGTTATTAATAAACTTCAGGAAGTGTAGTATATCAGTCCTTTATATGTATATTTAAGGCTAAAGATACAATTTAGGGAGATAGAAATTTCTCATCATCTTCCTAGTAAATCTATTTTTTAAGTCGTGAATTCAAATGTATCACTGAAAGTTGAACTTTGATATCTGCCACTCTTTCAAAGGGGGCTCTAGAGAAGTTAACAAATGCATAAAAATTGAACTCAGGCATTCAATTTTCTCTCTCATCATTCAGTGCCTTCCTCTTGCCTTCACAGTGACAACCAAACGTATTTGCCCGGTGTTCACAGCTCTCCAGATCTGGTTGAGACAAATTTCCAGCCTCAGCTCCTGCTAACTTTCAGTGCTGAGCTCCACCCTACAGCAGCCCTCGTCATTCCTCAACTTTATGATATACTTTCTGCTCCCATATCTGTCTTTTTCTTACAGTCCCTTAATCCTGGAAAGCATTTTTCCTATCTCAAGCACGAGAAATCTTTATCTTTAGTTCAAACACCCAGTTCTTTTATGACACAGTCTTTATCTCCTCAGCTAACTGGACCTTTGGCTGATTTTTCTATGACACAACTTAGCATATAACTTGCCTTGCAATTTTATTACACTCGTCTCCCTGACTAAAATTTAGTTGCCTGTGGTCAGGGCTTCTTTGTCTTACTCTTATTCATATCTAACTTAGTACACAAAATTGTAACTTTCGCAAATATTTATTCCTTAATAAAATATCTGTTGAACCAATTGTCGTCCCAAAACACATGGTAATAGTGCTCTCAAACTTGCAGTGCTATATTAGCTGAAATTTTGTGAACCCCCCAAATAAGGCTAAGTTGTTTGGGCATGTTCACAATGACTAGCAGTTATGTTTTCGGTATTTGAAAACAACTTTTTCCCATATACATTCATTTTAGAAAATTTGTGAGGCTATACACAAATGAAAAAAGTCATGAGTTAACTACCTTCCAAGGGCAGATGATGATGCTTTCTTTTTTAGAATATAGAGATACTGTTTGTTTTTCTTAGAAATTCTCAACAAGGACAACATGGAAATGTAGACAAAGGCATACTGGAGAACACAACTGGGATTGAATCCCCAGCCCCCGACCTTCATGATTATGTGATTCTGGGTGAGCTACTGCATCTCTCTCAGGCCCAGTTTCTCCTCTGAAAAGTAGAAATATTCATACCATGTTTTATTCCTACAGGGGTTTTGGAAATATCAAGTTACAAAACACTGGACAGTATTCTGTAAGTTAGAAAATACTACATGCCTGGTTTTATGAGTATGTTAACCAAACAGGAGATGACTCCATGGATAGATGGAGTGATGAGGTTGAATCCTAAGTAATAGTTCAAATTGGATTTCTGCCTAGCTCACTTACCTAAGTCACAAATAACCTTCACTTCGCTAAAGGGAAAGGAACTAATTTTTATTGAGCACTGACTGCATGCCAGGTTCTTCTGTGCTATCTCCCTTACCCTTGTCTTCCCACAGCTCCACATAATAAATACCCTTCCACACATGAGAGCAACTGAGATGCAGTGAACAAAGCCACTAGTACTGCAAGATTAAAACCAAGGTGGGTTTGATTTCAAATCCAACATTTTTTCTATTTTCACTATAGTAGGAGACACCTTTTGGGGAAAGTACTTTTATGGGAGTCCTCTATTCTTACGGAAACTTCCAGAGTGATTGAAGGGCAGTATTTGATTAGGTACGTGAATTTATTTTGATATCAATACCCTTAGGAGAGTTAAAAGAAGTTGTAATTATTTCATCTTAGAGGAAAGAGTGGACTAATTTAAAAGGCATTTGCAAGCCCATGAAAAGGAATAAATGGTGAATATTGACTTTTCACATGTAATTTACCTAAGACTATCTTTAAGTATAATTAGGAAGTTTTCATAGCATGGCTTCTTCAGATCTAAAAAGAGCCGAGGGAAACTATAGAATGTTCTTCTTGATAGAATATTTGTTTTGAATAAAGAGAAGGTAGACTTATCTTTTTAGTACTTATTAATAGTCCTATTTGGAGGAGGAAAACTAGACTCGATCAGGGATGTGTATTCAAGTAAACATGAAGGAAAAAATATCGCTATAAATTCTGCTGAAACTATGATTAAAATAAATGGTATTATAGCACAGAGGATCTAAAATGATGTTACAGTACAGAGACACATGAGGGTGCTCTAACCAGCTGCTATAATAAATAAACTGTTCAAATATTGGGGAAAATTTAAGGCCTATTGTGAATGGAAGTGTTGAAGTCTCACTTTTAGTATTGGTTAAACAGAACAGTCTTGGAATAGATGGCTTTTCTTTTAAATAAAATGTACTGGTCTCTCCCGACCCTCCCAGTTTGAAAAGTAGAAGATGTTCATATTGGACAATTTGGAAAATACTGAAAAGCCCAGAGAAAAAGAAGAAAGTGGACTGATGTTACTGTCAGCCCTGGGAGGATGGAGTTTTCTAGAACCAGGCCAGTTGGGGGCTTAGCTCAGGAGGCCTGCCTTCAAACACAAGCCCAGCCTGTTCTCATTTTGATTTCACAGACCTTCTGCTGGTACGAAGGGGGAGGAGAGAGTGGGGGTCTAATGACCGCAAGAAGAGAATTAGAGACGCATGTTTATCTCAATACATTTACTCTCATTAAAGTTCATATTCACTGACATCATGCATCTCCTTGAAAAAGTCTGCCCACCCACCATTAATTAAAGCCACATTTTAAAAAGTCAGTGTATGCACTTTTATTCCAATCAAAAGTAGCCTCCTAAGTTTTGCAGAGTAGGCAGGAGAATATCTGAGGCCTGACAGCTGTTCACCTCTACACAGTGAAGAATCATGTGATTTACATTAAAAGTCATGTTTATTCAGGGCCTAAAATATCATAGTTAAGATCTATTGTCTTGAAGAGTTGAAACATTCATTATCTAATGACCTATTTAGCAAAATTAACATTTATTTTGATAAGCCAACATTCTTGTGGATACAACGTATGATCATATGCCTTCATCTTTCCAAATAGAGAGATATAACTGGACACCCTGTTTGAACAATTAAGGCAGCACACTCCTATCAAAGACACCACACTTTATAACTTAAACATGCAGTATCAATGTTAACACAAAGGTCAATGTAGACTTTTTTAATCCAAATCATTGCACAAGCAGTAATTACCAATAGTTGGAGTATTGCACAACCATAGTCTATATTCTTGGCAGTAGTCACTATAAGTTCATAAATTCATGAAAATAAGGAATGTTGATTTTGAAAGTTCAAGAAAGGTATTATTTGTAAACAGCTCAGGTCACACTCATCTTATTCTATGTGCTAAGAAACAGTTCTTTCCTTCCAACTTCCTTTAGACAAGATTCATTCTCTCTAGGATCCTAGTAAAAGGGTTTTCATCCAAACAGATCTGCATTCTTTTCTATTCTTTTTCCTATTAAAGCCTCTCCAGGGACCTTTCGATTTTATGCTGATCTTTCTTTATATATTAATATCAAGCACATTTTTATGTTATGTTGATAAAAGACAAATTATGGTTATCTCTTCCTATTGGCAATTAGATTATTCTAGAATCATTCTGACCAGATATTTGATTAGCCAAGCCAGTTTATACTTTCCATACAAAAGCATCAAGTGCAGCAGTCAGATTCTCTAGTTACTCTGGTCATGTCACTATATGGAAAGACAGGGATCATCAGTGAAGCTGAACATTGGCACTGAAATGGTTTAGTCCTAAGTCAAAGCACCCCCAGACTAGGAGCTGAAACCTGACTTCTTGCCCTGACTTTTCTACTGACTCACTACGTGACCTTGAGGACCGTGAGTGCCTCAGTGTCCTCATCTAACAAGTGGAGCTTAGTGGGTGAATACTGACCCACAGCTCAGGAGGTTAATCAGGACTAGAGGGCAGGGGACTGGAGTATACTTTTGTGACCATGTCTTCCCCTGGTCTACTTACTCATTCAATGCCAGAAGTCATGAGGAAGAGCTGGCTGGGTCTGATTCTAAAAGAGAGCATCCTTGAATCTAGAAGCCAACAAACCATACCTGGTGAGTTGCTTTTGTGAAAAGTTTGGGAAAAGATGCTCTGGGTCTTGATATCCCTTAGATATTAGCATCCAACATAACATTCCTATGTGGGATGAAGCACTATCTTAACGCACAGATTATATCTTCTGCCCAGATGATACAGTATCCACAGGGACCATAAAACACTTGACTCAACACAAGCCAAAAGCAGTGGGTGGACTCTTTCAGCTCAGCTGTGGAAAAGAAGGTGGAGTGTGGATGAGGATATTCCAACCCAGTCAGTGGCTTTAGAACAAACAGCTATGGTCTGGGGAACAGTGGGAAGTTGTGACTTTATCTCATTTTATCAACTCTAGGAAGATTTAAGATAAGCTCTGCTTAAGCGATTCATAAAGCCAAGCAGTCTGCACAATGAGCACTCTTGCATTTCCATACCTTCCTGCCAGCTCTGTTGTTATGAAGATTCATCAGGGCTCTGGCGTCCTTTCCTTTTCTTTCCTTGGCATCCACGAAGGCTCGGGCAAACTTGATCCCATAGTCAATGTTATCACTGCAGCCACCCCAGTCGAACGTGCCCTTGCTGTCCTTGGCGGTTCCCTTCTTCTTTGGATCACAGGAGCAGGATTTTAATTCTCCTTGGCTACAGGCCCTGGTGATGGCAAATACAACTCCAGCTGAGGAGATGGCGTAAACAAAGGCAGATTCCCGACTACCTGAAACAAAAATGCTTTTCTTAAAAGTGGTCTGGTAGTGCTCGTTCTGAATAACTTTCACATGATGACTGTTTCATCCTTGATCTACCTCTGACATCCTCTACCACTGGACAAAAAAAGTTCTGGTGTTCTTGAGGGATTCTTTTCTAGAGCCGAGGCTCTTTCCTTATATATGAATCATCTCCATCTAGTACAGGATTTTGTCAATTTAGATATCTGTATGAGAACTCTGCTTAAAGTAAATAAAGACTATCAAAGATGGCCAAGCCCACCCCCTAGATTCCTATCAGTCTCAGACACACACTTGCCCTGCGTTAGCCAGGAGCCCTAGATGTCCTAGAAGAGCATAGCATTTCTAAGCGTTAGTATCCTCATCTATGAAATACCGTTGAAATTCTACAGTGCTATAATTTCATAATATATTTGGGTATTCATGACACCACGGCTTCACTTGAAAAAACTTTCCAAACCTCTAGGCATTACTGAGGACACACATATGCATTTAAATTATTGAGAATGAAATACTGAATTCAAAGAAATCTAGGGACTGAGGTGGGAAGAGAATTCTGGCAGTAAGCAGGCCCTTGCATTAACACTGGAGAGCTTGGGCTTGGCATTGACTTTCACAAGTAATTGAGAGATTGTTGAAGGCAATATGCAATATCCTTGGGTTACATACTATGTCTAACTATTAAGGTGAATTTACTTTCTTCTGGAACACCTGCACTAATCACTAGTATTGGGTAAAAGACAGTGAAAAGCCTTTCTTTGGTTTTTCTGGGAGGAAACAAATTTACCGCCTATAATTAGACTTGGGCAAAAACCCTTTGGGGTGCTTTCTTAGAATTGTTCTTTATTAGAGCACAGCCTACTTTTACTTACAGGCTGAAAGGTACATATTTCAGTGCAATAACTACATTAAATTATTTTAATAATCTGTAGTAACTCATAACACGGTGTTGTGGTATAGTGACAGATATAAGGCTCTTTAGGGTCCGTGTGCACCTCGTTTTTCAAGTGGAGCTGTATTTCATTGTTATTAGCATGCCCTTTTATTAATGGTTGCTGCAGCAAATATATTAACAATCAAAATAGAAGCTGGGCAACCTGATGCCAATGCAAGGCAGAAAGCAGAGAACCATTCGGTGATTCAACATGTCAAGACGAGTGTGACTTTTTGAACCACACAGCTGGGAGAACAAACCACCCTTTCGCATTGAAGCCCTGCTTGTTTCCGTTTGTCATTCAGTGCTAAAATTTATTATACATCCCTCGCAATATTTGCTCTGCTAGTCTCATTATTAAAAATCAGGAAAACATATCTACACCATATTAAATGGCACTTACCTCAGCCTTCAGAAAATATCTCCCCCAAACCTCTAACCATCAAAAAAAGAATCAATCATGCCCTGTAGTTAGGTAAAATCAATTATATGAATATTTGCCATAGGTAGCAGGTAGTGCTCTCCAGAGAGAACTGTTACGATCATAGGAGCTGTTTTAAAGAGTCCCAGATTATATTATAAGGGCCACAGATATTCTAAGTGGAATTGCGATGTTTTATAAAAGAAGGTGACTAATAGATGCTAATGTGGCTTAATCTCAGGTAGTGGCTTTCAGATAAATAAAATTTTTATTATACCCATTTTTATAGTTTAGGAAAACACCTTGTCCATAGTTACCCCATTTATCTTCTAAAGCCTGGTTTGGGATTTGGAGTCCAGTGCCCATGTTTAGAGAGATCACATAGGGGAAAAATTCCCAAATGCTTAAGTATTTTGCACTGGTCTTATTTTTTAAGGAGAAAGAAGAGAAGTTTTAAGCGGTGGTTTTTTAGGGGAAAGGCATAGAAGATGTGGATGATAGTATGTCAGACACCAGACAGTATTCTGAAAGCAATAGAGAAATAAATTGTCTATCTAAGTGCAGAATTCATCCTGGTGCAACTTGCAAACAATTACATTAATTTGTTGGCTGAAAGAAAAAAAAAACCCACAATATGTTACATTTCAGGAATCATTTCCAAAGCAAAAAAATACCTTTATAGATAGTTCTCATTTATTATTAAAACACATTACTAAATTAGCACATTGACTGACTTTTCATTTTACCTCCAGATGGTCTGGTATCATGTAGATATGGCCTTAAGATGTTTTCAGTTAAGTGTTTTAGATGAATCACTAAAATGTTATGTGTGAAATAGTAGCACATTTCAAGAGCTGGCTTTGTAACAAAACAAATTTTGATTTTGGGCCTCTTCTTAGAAAAACTTATTCTTTTTAAAGCCATCACAAAAATGAAACAAAATCCAAATCTAAATGGTGACATTTAAACTTCCTGATGTGTTACTATTGAAGTTTCTCTAATTTTTGGATTGAGATAAATCAAGAATATCTATTAAGTACATAGGCAGAGTTTTTATTTGGGGCGGAGGATTGTTACTTTGGAAGGAAAACAGTAGAAGCTAGGCTTTCCTGAAGGTTATGGGCTGTTCAACTCTCTTTTGAAATGTTTGCCTTTTTAAAAACAAAACAAAACAAAACAAAACATTTACAAGGCTGAGACCTTTACTGTTTTTTAAGGCTCATTCTACAATTTTGGAGGTGTATTGTTGCGAGAATATTTTTGGGTTTACAAGTTCTCTCTTTGTTTCTCTGCCTGTGACTGGTAACTGTCTGTTGAATGAGTAAATTACAAATGTTTCTGAAATTGTTCTGTCTTACTCTGACTCTCTCAAGCAAAACAGGAAAATGTTCTCCATTTCTGTATGATCACGGGATATTTTAGTAACTTTTATGTCCTCCCTATAAATGGTGCGGCTCTTTGCCTTTCCTATTCATCTATAAGCACATTCGGGTTTCCAAAGGAGAGTTTTTCACAACTCTAAGATGTAAATTTCCCTCCAAGCAAATTAATTGTGAAAATCTTTGGATAGCTTCATTGGAATTTCATGATTATTTCCAGGATAAGCTGCTTAAGGCCAAATTCAGCCCTCCCATAACCAACACAAAATCATCACTGACAGTCACAGGAGTTTGCATAAATGTGTAGGAAGGAATCTGGCCTTCTGTGAAGAATGGAAAGAAATTGTGTAGCACGAGTGTTTTAAGTTCTGAGTACTTTGGCAAACCATTTGAGCTTCATCTGAAAGAAAGGAATTACAAGTTAGAATCTCTTATTTTACCTGAGGCCCTAGAATAAGTCAAACTAGTTTCATGTCCTTTAGTTCTAACCTCCTCCTTCTCAACTCTACAACTCTGAAGAAACAAACATTGCCATTATGTTAAAGTATTTTATGAATGAATCTCCAGCTTTCACAGATATACTATCTTTAGGATCACTGGTCAAAACTGCTTCTTTGATTTGTGATCTAAAGTTGTTTTTTTTTTTTTCTCATATGGTGACATCTTAATGGATCTAGAGGTGACCATTTTATAAATGAGAAGCACATCTAATTTGAAATCATTGCAAAATGGTTATGAGCACTTTGAAAAAGAAAAATCTTGATACATTTTAAACACTGAGAACCTGCACACAGTATATGCAAAGATTAATTGAGCTAGATACTTGCATAAGCTCTTTGACAAGGTCCAGTACTTTAATTGATTCACTGGTGAGATAATCTAGGTGAAGTCTTAAAATTCCATGGAGCTGAAATTTACTATTAACCTTTCAAAAATTTGCGATGTCATATCGAAACTCCAAAAGGAATGCAGAAGAATATAGTTCTTAAACTAGAGAATAAAATTGCAGAATATCGCAGTAAATTAACTTTAGGGATACTCTAAGAATGAGAGTACTACGCCCTTGGGGGATTTTAGAGACATTCAGTTATGCGTTTGGCCTCATAAAACCCTAGGGCTGTGATGATTACATGATAGAAACACCCTCTGTTAAGCATTACCAAGTGCACAGTCTGGATGATTTTCTTAGGAATGGGGGGAGCAGTGGGCAAAAACAAGTGTAAAGTTTCCTGTTTCTGGGGTTCACACATAAACTGCTGTGTTTTTAGTCAGATTTCCTAATAGCAAATGGGCTGTGATATTTCTTGGAGAATACTAATAATGCCAGGTTAGCAGATGGGTATTATTGGAAAATGAAATCGAATTTTCAATTCATTTTCTCAGATTATATACCAGCTAGTGAGCTGCTTTCCATATTCAGAACTTTTAGGAAACTTAGTATGTAATTAGATAACACTTAAGGCTCCTTCTCAGAAAGAAAAACTCTGTGTGTTCATGTTTGCCACCCCTATTCTTCAAAAATATCCTTATTGTCTAAAATGTAGCTGGAAAATAACAGGTGCTTACTATAAGTTCATTCATTCATTGTAATGAATTCCTCATAGGGAATGAATGGGGCCTGCAACACACAAGGCACCAAACACGGTACAGGGAACAAAGGCTAATTCCTGCCCTTATGGGGGAAAAAATGTTTGATTTAGACACAGAGTGACCCAAGGCTGAGTCCTTGAATGGGCAGTCAAAGGTGGTGAGTAGAGAGATTTGTCTCTGCTTCTTAATAACACTCACATGGTGGTGGTATAATCATGACAATCTTCAGCAGTGAAAAGATTTGAGCATTCTATCCTGATCATATGCTCAAATTCTTTTGGAGAAGTCCCAGAAAGATGAGGAAAAAGTCAAAAGAACCTTGTAGCTACTTCTTCCCTTCATTTAGAGACAAAATCTGAACAATCTGAACATGGCTGATGGACAGGGCAAAGAGTGAAGGGACGACAGTCTAGGGTACTACTTCCCACTCCATGACTGGCTTCCTGTAAGCCTCTACACTACAGTTTCTGATTTCTCTAGGCATCTGTAAAACAGGGACAATGTCACCCAACGGAACAAACTTCTGAGTAAATCAAATGCAATACAGGATGGGCGGGGGTTTTGAGGACTCAGGGGACTATGTATTGAGCTCCGGCGCCCACGCAGCTGGGTGAAGGCAGGGGACTTACTTCGGAGCAGGACCCTGCCGAAGAGGCTGTGATCCCTGTCCAGGGTGTTGCAGTTCCAGCGGTGCTGGCGGAACTGGTGCTGGCACTCCGCTGTCCACTCCGAGACACCCAGGCTAATGGCACGCATTACATCCGGGTGTCGGTGGCACAGCTGCCGCTGGCGGCTCACCAGGCCTGGCACATTGTCACACATCACTCTGGAGGAGCCACCTGTAGCTCTCATGTACCTGGAAAGGACCAACACAGAGGTGAGAGCAATGTGAACAGCAAGACCTGGCTCAGTGTTCCTCAGGAGACGAAGGAGTTCAAAGCACTTTTCAAGTATGAATTCCTTATCCTTTTTGGTGGTATTGGAAAGCAAAAAGTTATTTACTTTTGATTCAGTAGAGAAACAGGCGAGGCAGGCATGGCGAGTGACCTGGTAGAAGCCATGCCCAAAATGAAGTGATGACTGTCTCCTAGACATGAAGTGGGGACCCCGGGTGACATTCTGGGCAGGGCAATAGAAGCAAGGTCTGGGTTGGTTGGGTTGGGGAACTCAATGATGGGGGAAGAAGCACTGTGCTTAGGGGAGAAGACGTCAAATACTTTTCCCCAGAAGGCATGATGTGTCTGGACTTGGCTTTGGGGGAAACCGACCTTTAGAAGCTCCTCGTTCCCATTTATTTGACATAATGTCTTAAAAACTGTCTGTATCTGTCTAATCAACACCTGCTGGTATCTGATGTTACACTCTCCTCACAGACATGCTGTTCTTTCCTTACTGAAGAGTCCTTTAAATATTTCCATTTTCTAGCTCTTTTTGGCTTTTATGAAAAAAACCTTTGGAAGAAATTCTTTCTATTGTTATTAAGGACACTAAATGTTTGGAAGAATCAAACAGTGTTATAGCTCCATAAAGTACTTTTTGAAAAGAAACTTTAACAAAAAATTACATCATCATCTTTACCCAGATGTTCTCTATTAGTTGTGAAATGTTTAGAAAGGTACCTTTTATATAACCCAAGCTGCCATAGGTGTCTTTTGAAGCGATCAAACAAGGAGAATGTCTTTTTCTTGTATTTTCATTATTTTATATGATCATAAAATCGTTACAGCTGTGACTTCCAAAAAATATATTTAAGTGACAGCTGAGAGACAATGTGACAAAAAGCCTGAGCAATAAATAATGTTTATACACCCATGGAAACAGAAATAGTCATTTTATTGAAAAATGGTCAGTCGGATAAATCAATCTTTGATCCTGTGTCAGCAATGTCAAAGCTAAACGCCTTCCTGTTCAAAGCGGGCTTAGGAAGGGATTGAACCCCTCTTCCCATCAGCGCTTTGCCTTGCTCTTTGAAGAGCTCCAGTGTCTTCCTAAAAAGTTCCCTGCTCTAGTCTTTCTTTCTCTGAGACTCCCCACTTTTGCCAGATTCTTTAAAAAAATAGCCCACGATAACCGGTCTTTCTGAATCAGTATTTTAATATCTGTTCTGAAACTTTTAGGTGCAAGGAAGTTACAGGACTCCTAAGTCCATCTCTTTCCAAGATCTGAAAATCGGGAGATGGGGAAGAGTTCCTGGACGGGGAGAGAAATCTGCCTTTGGAACTTGTAGCGACGCCAAGACCTGTTACCGTCCAACGTGCCATCACTATGCAAAAATAAATAAATAAATCACAGAAAGTGGCGAAATTACTGCTTGGGGTGACGGGTTTGAACAGGGTAACATTTTAGAGGAAGACCCTGGGTTCTGCAGCTTTGTATTAAGGCGATAGTCTCTACCTGGAGGCACCAACGTGTTAAGCATTAGGAATGTGGAAGGACGGGAAATAATACAAAATCACACGCTTTGGGCTCTGCAACTCCTGACTGCCTGCATTGGCCCGTCGGTTTATCTTGAGGCAGCTTCGGGAGGGCGGGAGGCGGGGTGGGGGGGCGATTGTGGTTTTCAAGGTGAATTCACACACACACACACACACACACACACACACACGCACACACACGCGCGCGCGCACACACGCGTCTGTGCTAGAGCTCGAGACCTGGCTAGCGCGTCTCTCAACAGGATAAGAAATTGGCTGATTTTGCTGTCGCTCAGCTGGATCCAAATAAACCAAACACCAGAGCCTCATTTGAGGGGGAATATGGTTTTTTTGGAGTTGTCAAAGCTGAAATGATCTTCCGGGGGGGGAAAGTGAGGGGGCCGGCGGTCGGGCGATGAGAGAGGGCAGTAGCCAGGGTCCGGGCCAGCACCCGAGACTGCCGCGGCCGCGGGGACGCGCCGCCAGGAAGGGTCTCCGCGGCCAGTGCGGTCCCCGCTCCCATCTCCAAAATCCCCCCGCGCCAGCGCGCGCGGACTTACCACCATGAAGAGCTGACCTCGGGGGTGAGCCAGGTCAAGAGCAGAGGGAGCCAGAGCCAGATTCCACCGAGAGGGGCGTTCATATTAACCCCCTTGCGTCCGCATCAGGTCAGACTCCGTGTGCGGGCGCCATGCGTGCCCGGAGCAGAAGCGCTCAGCGCCGGGAGCGCCTCGTCACGGCCGCCGGCGCCTCGCCGCGCCCCCGCCCCCCGCTCGCGTCTGCGGCGAGTGGCGAGACTCGCTGATAAAGTTTCAAACGACGAGCCCGGCGAGCGATAAAGGCCAGCCCGGGCCGCCTCGCCCACAGCCCAATTCCCCAGGCGCGGCGAGCGCTGGCAGCCCGAAAGCTCTGCGCGCCTCCCGCGCGCCCCTGTCCGGCTCCCCGGCGGGCGCAGCCCAGGGAGGGGGCGCTGCGCCTAGCGGGGGTGGGGGAAGCGCCGGGTTTTATACCGGAGTGGAGGGAATGATGGCAAGAGATGACTGGGGCCGAGGGGAGGGAGGAACACCTCTGCGTGGCTTCTAGCACTCCCGCAGATAGGCGCCTTTAGGGACGCTCCGGGCCAAAGAGCATCCGTGGGCTCGAACCTCAGGAGTGCGCGTTCCGGATAGGCGAGGCTACCCTCCGGCAGACAGAAGTCCCTGAGCTTGTAGAGTAGGGAAACGAGGGGGAGGATAAGGAGACTACTGTGTACAGGATAAAAGAATCCAGGGATGATTTTCTGTCCCTGACGCTGACAGGAATAGCAAGCACTTGTAAATTTAGAGCTGCCGTGTCTATGCAGGGCAAGGTTGAGGGGGCCGGGGTGGGGGGCTGGGCTTATATACAGAGACTGCAGGGAGGACCGGCACGAGAGTGTGTGTGTGGGGTCCTTGACCAATGGGACTTCACACAGCAGTTACGGCCAAAGCGCCCAGAAAGGATGCAATTTTTATGCACACCCAGCTGCTCCCCGGCGCTGCGGAGCGCAAAGGATCACGTAGGGAGGAATCGAGGCACCCAGGCGTCCGCCGGGCGTGTGCGTCCCAGCAGTGGTTGCACCTCTCACCGCCCGGGAGCTCAGCCTGTGCGCCTTATGGAGATAAAGGGACGCTGGGTCCTGGGCCTGGGCCCCTACAGAGCCAACTGACGGGGGCTCGGGCCCGCGGGTGGAGCATCTTGAGCAGCAACTGGCTTGCAGCCCCGCAGTTTATCGCCGGAAAGGAAGGAAGACCAGGAACTCGCGGCGGCCCTGAACTGTTCCATTGCTCTTTTCCTGGGGTGGAGGGACGCGCCGCCCGCCCGGGGAGCGTGCCCTGGGGACTAGGGACTGTGTATGCTCGGGGCGGAGACGCCGAATTGTCCGCAGGGTGTGGGGTGGGGGGCGTGCAGATAGGGAAGACGGGCTCTCCCCGCCAACCCCTCAGGCCTAGACGGGCCAGAGCGTCGCCCTCGCTGGACGGAGCTCGAGCTCGGTGAGAGGCTGGACGGGGAGAAGCTCGGAGACGCCAAAAACCTGAAAGATGCTGTCATCGCCACCCCCTTCCCCCACGCCGGTCCCTGGCAGGTCCGGCCCCTCCCAGGCTGACCCAGATACATCCCCATTTGGGTCCGGAAAGGGAGGGGAGGGAAACAAGCACCGCGCCACCCACGACTCGGGAAGAGCAGGGCTCCCCGCCAGGGCCGCTCCGTATCGCTGGGCCGCGACCCAGGGGAAGTTCTGCCCGGCCTGTGCCGGGTGCGCGGGAGGGGCGGGGCCCGGCGCGCTTCTGCTCCGGGTATGTGTGTGGGGGTGGGGTGGGGTGGTGGTGTAGGGGTGATAGGCACCAAAGGCAACAAGTATCCTATGTACCTCTATGCTTATGCTCGCAAGTCTCCTTCCTGGATGAAGCAGAGGAATATGCTAAAGTTTACCTCCCCTCTCCTTTGTCCCACGGTTTCTTGAAGTAAATCCAGACACTTGGGACCTGTAGAAGACGAGATGGTTGGCCTTGGAGAAACCATAGGTTGCCAAAATTTCGCTTCTACCAGTGATTAAAGTGAGGTATGGATGTGTATGCTGGGAAAGGTAGGCAGTTGTATGATTCTCTTGTGGAGAATGAGAATTGAAAGTATCTAAAAAACTCCAATTTAAAGTTCCACCCCTCTCAGCACATCGTGTCCTCACAGCTAAGTGGTATTAGAAATACATGGAGTGTGACCATCAACTTAGAGGCCCTTCCTCTCCGCCCAGGGAATTATTGAGTGGCCAGGAGACCTGCCCTTCAGTTGATGGTGAGGCCAATGGAATGACCTAAACCTGAAACAGACCTCCTGGAAAAGGAAAGGACTATCCCCAAAGCTAATTAAATCCACTCCACAGGACTTCATCCTAGGGCAGGACTAGGAAGGCCACATGTCTTGAGAGAAGAAATCAGTTTTGGTGAAAGGCAAAAGGCTGACAAAGTTCAAGAGAAGCTAAATCCAGATATGAACAAAGGTCCACCCAAACACCCCTTCCTGACCTGTCTAGAGACAGTCTGGACCAGATGACTGGTCTCTTCCCAATCTGTGATTCCATTTCCCTCCCATTCTCCACCCCTATTCACTTATGACCCATTACTTAGCCCCATACAACTTATCTTTTGCCAAAAAGGTCTTTACTCCTTCCTTATCTGTACCTATTCTCTTGATGGATCCCTGCACTTTGAAGATAGAGAGTCCACTAGTAAAGGTAGTTGTGAAATGCCCAAGAAGATTAGGAGGAAAGAAGTTGACAGCAAACCTCACTTCTTTTGCAGTAAAAACTACCATCCTAAAGAAGAGTTACTAAATACTAAAATAAATTGCATATGACTTCAGCCTAGCTATAGCAGATTATGAGGTAAGGAAAGATAGGGTTCAGTGTACCTTTAGATTTATGAATGTAATATCTGATTTTTGATTTCAATGAGAAATCTCAGAATTGACTGTAAAATTCATTTACAGTATACAGAGCCCGATTCTCTTTCTGGAGATTAATGTTAGTTTGCTTGTAACTTCAGTATAGCATTGTAGCCAAATGAGTCAGTCTATTTTCTTAGTTAGATCTATTGTTTGTCTAATCTCCCAGGGCAGAGAAAGAAAGAGAACTAATTTACTACCAAATCATCTCCACCCTTTAAAAATGGAGAGTTACTTCTTCAACCAAACAGTCATTTGCCTTTCAGTCTGAACCAGCTTCTTTCTAAGGCAGTGACTCCTAATATAGCCACTCACTAACCAAAGGAAAAGTTCTAATATCAGCCATTTAAATCTGTGTGCATTTAAATTAATGTACACCAAAGACTTGCTTCCAGCCATGAGAAAGTAACAGGTACCAACTTACTGTCCTACCGAAAAAAAACTATAAAACTGGGAAAAACTTTTTGAGGCATATCTTTTCAGGTATTGGATAGTAGGCAGCACATGGCTGTAATCCTTGAGAGAAGGAAAACATATGAGGTTTGCGCTACAACTATCCCATAATTGTCCTAGTTTTTCTGCTGAAAAGTCCTTGTTTTCTGGGGGTAAGAAGATGGAACCCAAGCAAGGTAGTAGTCTCAGTTAAGGAGGGAGAGTCTGGAGTTTGGAGCATTGAAGCACCTGAAATTGGCAGGGTAGCATTTCTGAAAATAGGTAGTGGTTAAAAGGGGGACTTTACAAGTTTATGTGGGAGATTTACCATGGGTCCCTGGCTAAGAGCTGGGCTGAGTATAGAAATGACAAGGTTCTGCAAAGCCTAGCAGAGATTGCCTGCTGCATGTCATCCACTGTTGAGAGACATTAGAGTTCTATCTCAGCAGGGTAAAGAGACCTCATTGAGCACTTCAGGAATTCTAGCATCTAGTTGAGATGCTAGAAAGGTCATGCCCTAAAAGTAATAATCAAGCCTTAGTGTAAAGATCATGCTTAGGACAAAATTCAAAATCTTGTTTTCCTATATCTTATGCTGTAACAAAGAATAAAAACAGACCAGACCAGAGGACTTATAAGAACAAAAACATCCATTAAAAGAAGACAACATAATATAGACTTTTAACAATGTATCATTAACAATAAAAAATTAATAGGCTGGGTACAGTGGTATGTGCCTATGATCCCAGCTACTCAGGAGACTGAGGCAGGAGAATAGCCTGAGCTCAGGAGTTTGAGTCCACCCTGGCAAAATAGAAAGATACTGTCTCTTGAAAAAAAAATTAATAGAGAATTAAAAAACCCAAAAAAGGTGACCCATACTGAAGAAAAAGCAGTCAATAGAGACTGATCCTGAGATGGTCCAGACGTAGGAATTAGCAAGAAAGAAATTTTAAAATAACTATTATAAATATATTCAAGTATTTAAATGAAAATAGAATAAACAAATGAACAATGAACAAATAGATGGAGAATCTCAGCAGAGAAATGGAACCCATAAGAAACAAATGAAAATTTGGGACCCAAGAAGTACAGTTATCTACTTTGTAAAATTTGTACCTGTAAAAGTGCATTTGTACTTTGTAAAATTTGCACCTGTAAAAGTGTTATCTAATTTGAACAATAGAGAGGGAAGATATTTATTAAAAATTAAATAAATAAAATCCCAGAGATCTGTGGGATAATATCAATCAGACTAATATATGTGTAAGTAGAGTTCCAGAAAGAAAGGAGAAAGAAAATAGGACAAAAAATACTTTATAAAGAATGTCCAAAATTTGTCCAATAATAGAGAACATAAATTTATAGATCCAAGATCAGAAAATCCCAAAAAGAAAAATACAAAACATATCACACCTACACACATCATGATCAAACTGTTTAAAACTATAGATGAGAAGAAAAATCTCTAAAACAACCAGAGGAAAAGATACATTAAATACAGGAAAACAAGAATATGAATTACATTGGCTTTTCATCAGCAACAATGGAAGTCAGTAGATGGAATATATTTAAAATGTTAAAAGAAAAAAACAGTCTACATAGACATCTATAATCAGTGACAATGTCCTTTAAAAATAAAGTGGTACTCTTCTTTTGTTTCTTCTTTTTCTCCTTACCTTGGGAATAAGGACTGAAATCCAAGAGTAAAGGCAAAATGCAAACAAAGCAGCCTGAATAAAGTCTAAAACTATCCTTAGATAGGATCAAGATGAACCATGGATACTCTATTTGCAACCCAAAAGAAAACTTGACCCTCCCTGGAGGAATATAACATCATTCAGGGTCTCCACAAATTTTCATTCACTATACCCAGTATCAAATTAAATATTAAAAAAACCCAAACAAAACAAAAACCAGTAAGAAACCAAAAACCAAAAAATCAACAAAAACCCAACAAGAAACCCAAAACCCTACAGAAAATAGAACTGGACTCATAAGTAATTTAAAGTTCTGATTTATCTGAGAGGGACTCCAAAATAACTAAAATTAAAATATTCCAAAAATAACAAAAAGGAACAGATAATTTTAAGAGAGTTGGAATCTATACAAAAGATTTAAATATTAATAAAAATCCAGAACTGGGGGTGGAATTTCAGTAACTGAAATTAAGAATTAGGTAGATGAGTTGAGGATCTATCTATAATCAACAGAACAGTGGCTTAGTAAACCAGAGGGAGATCAATATTAAGTATCAAGATTAATGCACAGAGAGAATTAAAAGGATAGAAAATACAGAAAAGAGAATAAGTTAAGAATGTAGAATGAAAACATTTAAACTAATTGAAATTGGAGACATAGAAGAAGAGAGAGAGAATGGGACTGAGGAAATATTTGAAGAAATACCAACTGAGAATTTTCCAAAACTGATGGAAGAAATCAAACCAAATATTCAAAAAAATCTACAAACTTATAATAGGATAAATCAAAGAAAACCACATTTAGGCACATCACACATAAATTGCTGACAAAGACAAGGAGAAAATACCAAAAGCTGCCAGAGAAAAGAAACACATTAATTTCAGGAGAAAAACAACTCTGATGTTTCAACAGAAACTACTGAAATCAAAAGATGGTAGAATAGCATCTTAAAAAGGAGGCGGAGAGGGGAGGAAGACTGCCAACCTGGAATTCTGTAATCATTGTAAAGATCCTTCCAAAATGAAGACAAAATAATGATGCTTTCAAACAAAACGTAGGAAAATCCACTATTAGCAGAGCTAATGATAAGTATTAAGCCAATTCTTTAGGCTGAAGGAGAATGATCCCAGATGAAATTATGGAATTGCAAGAAGAAATAAAGAACATTGGGGAAGGTAAATTTGTAGAAAAACATAAAATAATGTTGATAGTTAAAACAATAAGTATAGTATCTTTTGAAGTTTAAAACATGTAGAAAAATACATGATACCATTAGCACAAAGAACAGCAGGGAACTCTGCTTCCAGGTAGGATGAAATAAATACTCTGTCCTGTCTCTCCCACTGAGTATAGCTATATAACTTGGGCAGAATTCATGCAGAAGCTATTTGAGGACTTTGAAAAGCAAATAGTACTATATGGATTGAAGAAGACCAAAATTTTCAATACCACTAAATGGTGGTAATTTTCCAATTTTGTTTTTCCTCTGGTATCCTAAAGCCTAGATACAGACAGCCAAAACCTTAAAGTGGGAACCTGGCATGAACAGAGAAACCTACAGGAGAGGTGTCCAGAGACGCCCTCTAGTTTGAATTCAAGGAGTGGGAAAGGGATTCCTAACACTCAGAGAGAGTGGGAGAAATCCCCTGGGTTCACCCCCTGCCCAGTTCTCTAATACTCCACCCCACTGGGCAGTCCTATGTGGATGCTGGCAGCAGTGACAGCAGCAGCAGTGAGAATCCGCAGGTGCCTAAAACTCCAAGAGATGGAAAAATTTCTCTCCAGAGAAACTGTGGTCCCAAGGAGACAAGATGAAATTCCATAGCTTTTTCTCTTTCTCTTTCCTTCTGTCATGTGGCTCCAAACATGGGTGTAGTCACAGGAAATGTATGGCAGAGTGACATA